ATGTGTGTGCCCAAGCAAATAAGTGGGTTGTGAACATGAGTGAGTAACAGAGCAGTTGGTGCATGGCAAATATAAAGCAAGTCAAAACACTTTCCATGTTTAATAACTTATCGCTAGGTCTAATAAAAGTGCATGTTTTCAGAACTCTTTCTCTCCCGATTTCATATTTCTGAGGAATTCTAAAATGGAAATATAAAACCAAAAATATAACAGAACAGACACAGATCCAAAAGCATACCATTATTTTTGGTTGGTGTGAAAGCTGTATAAATATTGAAGAGAAATTACCGTATATTCCGGCATATAAGGCGACTGGGCGTATAAGACGACCCCCAACATTTCCAGTTAAAATATAGAGTTAAGACGACTCCCATGCATAGGAGACTACACCCGTGTATAAGACGACCCCTGACTTTTGAGAAGATTTTCTTGGGTTTAAAAGTAGTCTTATACGCCAGAATATACTGTATATGTAAATGTTTTCTAAATGGTGGTGCATAATGGAATCCATAGAATTATATGGGCATGGATTAATAAAAAAGCAGCTTAACATTGTGGTAGGATCAGCAAGCTATTTAAGCTAGAATATTGGAAGTGATGCAATTGATCATTAACAGTCCATGGCCTGACATACTGCAGTAAATGCAGTGAGTCTGTTTTTGTTGTTGTATTTTTGAAGTGTCATCCAGTGGAGGTTTTCTAGGTGGTAAAGTGTCTGGTGCACTTGTCCTTCAGTTTTTCAAAGAATGAGGCATCTCTGTTATGCTGAATTAATCACACATCAACTTTGGAGATGGCCATTTGATACAATGTTTGAGACTTCAGAAACTCTTTGATTTTTCATGTAAGATAATATATGTGGAGACAGCCATGCCCTATCTAAGCAGAGATTAAGGTCCTTTCCACACAACCATATAACCCAGAATATCAAGGCAGATAATCCACAATATCTGTTTTGAACTGGATTATTTGAGTCCACACTGCCATATAATCCAGTTCAATGTGGATTTTATGCAGCTGTGTGGAAGGGGCTTAAATGTTGCAATATGCGTAATCAGGAGTAAATTTTGAAGTAACACTTTGTATTGGCATCTTTATGTTTCTTAATATTAATTTAATATTAATTTAAATATGCACTTACAGGTGCTGGACCCAGGGAGTGCACCACTCTCTTGCTACAGAACATTCACTGGCTGTCAATTTTTATTTCCAAGCCTGATTTGAGGTGCTGATTTTGACTTTTAAAGCCCTACACTGTTCAGGTCTAACTTACCTATCTGACCGCATATATTCATACCAACCTGCCAAATCACTAAGATTATTGGGAGAGGCCCAACTCTCGTTTCTGCCACCCTCTCAAAAACAGTTACCAGCAATGAGAGAGAGGGTCTTCTCAGTAGCCACCCTGAGCCTTTGGAATAATCTCTCCAAGGAGATTAAAACAGCTACTTCTTTGTTATCCTTCAAAAAAACAACTTAAAACCTTTCTGTTTATGAAAGATTTCAGTGAAGAAATCTAGACTGAAGTGGTAGAAAGGCTCTCTCTTATTGAGCGGAACAAAGTGCAATATTTATTTATTTATTTCATGCACAATATGACCAACTGAGACATCATAATAATGCATGTGGTTTTCAAAATGTTTATTTATGCTACATTTTATTGATGTATTATATATGTGTTTAATTCCTGCTGATTTTATACTGTTTTTAATATGTTGGAAGCCACTTTGGGTCCCTTTTTTGGGAGAAAAGCTGGATATGTATAAAGATCTATTATTGTCATTTATTTCCTGTAAAATCCTGTCATTTGAACTATGTTCCATAATGGACCTAACTCCTTCTGAGCATTCTCAACAGGTGAGAGCCATCATGGTTTAGTGTAGGTTGAGTGTTGAACTACAAGTGTTGGACTACAAGTGTGTCTACACTGGGCAACCCCACATTCAGCACAATCTGAATGTGCTGAATCTAGGGCAATTATTCAGATGGCTACGGGGTGCATCTATTCCACTAGGGCAACATGCACGTCACCTCTTCTGTATCACCATTGCTGCCTCTCCCATTTGGCCATAAATCTCTGTGAAAGCTCTTGGACCATTGTGAGCACATCTGCTCGAATCACAATGGGGCACCCACATGGCTAGCAGAGGTATCCATATGACCAGGAAGAAGGAGGTGAGATAGACCTCTACTTAGTGCTGGTGACATGGCTACCACATTCTGATGTCAGCAGAGGTGCTACAATAGCCTGAAATTTGGACAGAACTCCATGGCTAGTTGGGAGCAGTTTGGGTGATAATATCGGCACAATCCATCCCCATTCCTTGCAATAGATGAGTGCAGGGAAAGGGTGATGGCACAGGTATCACATCTGGACAGTGGCTCAAGCTGAATTGGAACTGATCTAGCTGTCCAGACTGTCTTGCAGCTGTGCAATACCTTGGAGTTTCCAACAAACTCCTAAGTATATGCTGACTTTGCCAAAAGTAGGGCAGTCAGTTTAAATAAAAAACAAACAAACAGAAAGGATACAAAAATAAAATGGAGAATACTTACTGAAAGTAGAATGGAGACAACAACCCCTTCATTTGGGAGAGTCTGGTTTGTTTTTTGCCAATGTAGATGAGCCTGATTCTGGGAACCCACTAAGTAAACTAGGGCATGTCATAAATTCTGTGCTCCAAAACATCCTCATGATAAATTCATCTTAGGGTCACCATAAGTTTAAAATAACTTGAAGGCATACAACAGTGAAAAAATTTCACTGGAAACTGGAAAGATTCTGCTGAAAGTCACACATCAGATACTAACAAGGATTGAATATGATTGTATGCTAGCTGACAGCACAGTTGGTTGGTGTTGAATGCAGAATAGCAAGCATTCACAGAATTGTGACACCTCAAGATAGGTATATTAAAATGCAACATTAGTGTAGAATTTTGAAAAATTGTTGGAGGGGAGTTGGTAAAGTATTCAGCTTGCCTGCAGATTTTGCTGTCTAATCCCATGAATTTTGTTTTTCTTTCAGTGGATGATTCATCAGTCATCTTATCTCATGTTTGTTTAGTCATAGAAATAAAAAGCGTTCATTTTGGATTGCACGAATTCATTGCAGAAAGTGCCATTGAAACATTCCTTTACTGTTATTCTGAAGTAGTGAAAGGTTTACCTTGACATTGTATTTTCCTCTGAGTTAACTCATGTCAGATGACTATTTTTGCAGATTTTATTTGTAAAACCATGGCATTTGTATGGAATCAAGAGCTCCCACTTTCCAACTGACATCTATTGGCCAGAATGACAACCAGGGACTCCAGAACCATTTTAAGGGGCAGAGGCAGTAAGATTGTTACTAATTGTGCAGGTGTATTTTTAGTGAATAATATAAACATTTATCCACTATTAGATTAAAAGCAAAAGCTGTGGATAGCACGCATAATGCTTTAAAAAGAAAATGTAAAACATGGCTATTGATCAAATTTGAGAATCTCCTGATGCAAAACCTGGCTAGTGAGACTGAAATTGACTCAAGTTCTGGGTGTCATGGCTGATTTCTTTTTAAAATCACCTGCATGTGTTCAGTGTAGTTTACTAAGTGTGCTTAGAATAGATTGCATGCAGTTATTGTTATTTCTGGGAGGACTCAACTACATTATAACTCATTTTTGTTGTTCAGTCTTATAAGTGCACTTTTGATCATCCATGAGGAGATCATGAACTTGTATATAAAATCCTGATGGTTCAATTTGCATGTTCATTGGGGGAGGGGAGAGAACCTTGCTCGTCTTGTCCTGGGGAAATCACCTGGTTTAAGAACTATTTCTTCATTCCAGGGAATCTTGTAAATCATAGTTAAATGTTAGAGGAGGCAGGGAAGTCTCAGTAATGCTCATATAAGTGAACAGGAAGCTGTCACCATCGTGTTAATCATGCCACTGGTTGGGACATCACTCTGTGAAGACTGTGTGTTGATTGGCTGTGCACTGACCTCCACACATTAAAAAAAACTCATGCACAGGCGTCTTTATTGTTGTTGTCTAAGTAACAAATACATCAACATAATTCAACAAATTAAACAAATCAAACATCACCTTTAATAGCAATGAAGCAATCTATCCAATTCTAATGTGCAGCACCAATGAAATAAATATCCATGCTGTGCATGAGGCCATTGAACATGTTCATAGCTCCTTTTCGTACTTCCACCAGCAACAGAGAGGAAGGAGTGGATCAGGGCTGTGTGTATAACCCTTCTACTTGTGAAGAGAAAAGAACAGTTGAATAAAGCTAGGAAGAAAATGAGATGTATGCCTTTGAATGCCAGATGTCCATATGCCATGGACATCTGAACTGGCAACCTTAAGAGAAACATTGAAAACAAACACCTTCTCGACCTTTTCGGATAACATTTGCTCATTATTGCTGTTCTGTGCCTTCAAGTTACGGCAAGATTTACTCAGAGGACATTTCCATTGCCTTTGTCTAAGGCTGAGAAAGTGTAACCTGCCACAATTGTCCAGTGACTTTCCATGGCTGAGCAAGTTTCCCAATTCAACAATCAAATTCCTATAATGCTGGCTTCTAATTATCCCTAATTGCAGCCTAAATACATTGCTTTGGAGAGTAGCTGCCAAGTTCACTGAATGTCAGGCAAAAAAACAACTGTCCTCTGTTTTATTTTAGTCCCTTGGATTGTTTTAAATAGTTTTACAATTGTTTAAAGCTGTTTATGTTGTCTGTACTCCACCCGCAATTTCCAGATATAGGGTGGGGTATAAATATTTAAACAAACAAATGGAAATGGGTTCGACATTAACTTGAAACATTTCTAGTTTTTCTGTGTTGCTTCTAATGCCGCCTTTGTTCCTTTTCCTATATTCTGCTCCCACCAATCCCTTGGCTGTCATAACCATCCTTTAAAAAAATAAAAAGGGGGAAACATAAAGAGAATAAACAGTGTGCACTGGAAAAACTTTCTCTTTCTCTGGGGATAGCAAGAAACTTACAGTGTATCGGATGGTGTTGTTGTGTTTCCTGTGGGGAGAGCATTGTCTCTAGGCTCAAATTAATGCCACAAGTGGAAGATACAGCTCAGCTGTTTATAAACTAATATGCAGCAATTATGATAAAACAAAACTCGTTCGGAAATTCTGCTGTAGCTATGACAACGGTGTTCAGGGTATTCTATTGAAAGCATAAAAGCAGCGACGGTCGGGGTGAGTAAATAGTATCTGTTATTGATTTATGAAGGTTCCAAACAGTGAAAATTGGTTAATATATTTTTGTCATGAAATATTTTTGGTATTTCAAAACCTTCATTTTGATGGATAAAGTTATAGCCTATTTAAATGGCATCCAGCAGACAGAAGTGATTTCCACATTTAGTTTGCATCATTCTCTGTCTTTGTCACAGACTCTGTTTCCCCCCTAAGAGGCCTTAAAGCATTTCCTTGGTTAGCACTCTTGTTTTGACACTTAACATTTGCTGTGAAAATCTGGGTAATTGAACTGCTGCTGAAAAAAATATGTTTTTCCCTCTAAATGTCTATCTGCCTCTCCAGTCATTTGGATTGAAAAAGGGTGTGTGTGTAAAATTCAGGCAGATTCCAACAAGGTCTGAGATAGTATATGTTCAAGGTTAAGCTGAAGAAAAGGTGTGTATCTCCACAATAATTGTTTCTAAACTGGAGTACCTAAGTAGAGCAGCAGAGGAAATGGAGTTACTGCCACAATGTAGAAAGTTACCTCTAAAATCTAATTTATTCTGCTTATTTTTACAGTGATTTACAAATATATTCATCACAGTGATGGAAACATATAACTCATTGTAATACTTCTTTCACTGTTCTTTACTTTCTCACTGATTTCTGTTACTTCTCGAAGAAATAAAACCTTAGGAATGAAAAGAGAATGGTTTAAAACATTCTCAAAAATTATGTACTGGTACCTATAAAATGTCGTTTAAAATATAATTTGAAAGTAACCTAAAGTAATTTTGTTTTTACTCATTCTATTATTTTGGACTGGTTACTCCTGAAAGTAATGTTGCTTGTACAATCCCATATCCATGGGGGATGCATTCCTAAATGTACCGTGAAAATAGGAAACCATGGACAATATTGAAATAGACAACTTCTTCTAGAAGTTACCATAAAGTTATGTTTGGTGACCCAGAAAATGCTTAAAGGGGTATCTTTCTACAAACACAAAATTCAAAAAAGGGGAAAAGATAGAAAGAAACTGAGCAACATTGCTGTTTCCTGATGCCAATACAAACAACGGATCAGATGACCCACCTTACCTGTTCTTGTCCACTGCAGTCTCAATGAAGGGGTCAAGCCACATATTTAAAAAACTCAGTTCTTCCCCAAAAGAGCATAGACAACCGGAGATTTCTAAAGAAAATTACTTTAAGCCCTAAGGCATTGGAAAGAAGAATTTTCACAGCAAAGGAGAGGAATGTCATGTGTGCCAACATGACTGGGATCAAAGTAAGAATGCATTGTATGTAGGCTGCTTAGATTCATCTGACCTCCATGCCAGGAATAATCTTAATAATTGTTTGATTTCTTTATTTACTTAATGGGTGTTTGGGTTTGTGCAGAATCAGATGCTTCAGAGGATGAGGAAGGGGATTTTGTGGGGTCTCAAGAGGTGGTTTTGGGGGATGGATGCAGCATGGAGAGGTATGCTAGTGAATCTCCTGGGAGTTCTCAGGATGTTAGAGAAAGCGAAATCTGTTCCCATGAGAATCTTTATCTTTAACTTTATCCTTTTCCCAGTATGGGGCCAATGCCATTTTCAAGTTTGCAACTTTTTACCTGATTATTTTCTGTACATAAAGCTTATGTCAAAGACAGAGCACGGGACCCGAACAATGTTCCCAACACTACAAGAAAATTACTACAAGAAAATTACTAATACATGAACTTTAAAACAGTACATTAAAACTGTAAGAATTTGGAAAAGTTTAGTTATTTGAAAAGTATTGCTTGATACTAGAAGTGAAAGGCAAAGAAAATGGAGTACAGTAGGACTTACTATTAAGTAATTGTCTAAAAGATGGTAGGCTGCTGAGAAAGCAGGTCTTGCTTTTTAAAAAATAATAATTTAAATTGCATACTTATCAAGAGATAACTTGATGAGTCAATTTATTGCAATTAGAAAATAGCAGTTCCATTTTTTTCTTCCTTAACTGCTTGAAGGGTGATGTGTGGATTCCTTGTCAATGGGCAAATGAATCCACTCTAGTATGACCCTTATTGAGTTGCGCCAAGTTCAGCCTGAACTTTAAATACACAAATATTTTTCACTAGAGCCATTCTCAGTCTTTGTGTTTGTACAATCCAAGTCTCTGTCTAGAGTACAGGTTTCTCCAAGTGATGAAATACAGAATGAAGCATAATCTTGACAATCAAGCACAAATGGAAGACAATTGTTACTGGCTTCTTGTCTTTTCCACTCTATTCTGGAAAATGAGGCAAACAAAGTAGGGCATCTAATCTTTCAATGATTTTTTTTAAAAAAGATTTGGATGAAAAGTGAGTATCCTTTTCTCCCAATAAATATGTCATCTTTGTTTAAAGGCATCTTCTGTTCATAAGTCTTTTTTTTGTTCTAATAATTGCAAACATCCAGCTGCTAGTGATGTTTCCTGAGTTGGTATTTAATTTAATTAAACAATTATTCTAATTGTTTGGTAAACATATCACATTCTAATACACAAACAGCATCAACTGATGGAGGATAAAGGACAAATTGAAAAGAAGCGCTAGGATGCTTTAAAAGGATCCAGGGAGCAACCCATGCAGAGAAAAGCAATAATTAAATTCTGCTTCCAATTTATTGTTATGGTTGAATCTATTCATATTAAGTTGAAGGCTAAATGGCTTTATATCTACTAGCCAGAGAATGGAGTTTATTGAATAATTCTATTGTCCAAATATTACAACTGCTATGTTTTTTAAAGTAGTGATTTTTTTAAAAAATGTAATATGATGGTTTGGTAATGAAAGATTTGAATATGTCTTCTGCCCTGATAAGTATATTTGTATTTGTAACAGAGGTTGGTATATTACAGCTCCCAGTATTCCATAGCCACGCAGATCATATTTGTGAGGGCTGGGGTGGGAAGTGGGTGGAGCCCTAGTTTAAAAGTAATATTACAAAATTTTGAATTGTCAATCTTAATATGACTTTTCATGTGCTTTCTTGATCTCATACTAATAAGGGTTTTAGTCGCCATTAATTTTTGTAGCTGGTATATATTATGTACACAATGATTCATAAGAGATAAACATAGGTCTTTAAAATCTTAGTATTTTAAAACACTAATATATATATATTAAAAAAACCAACAGTTCCTAAATCTAGTCATGAAGACCATAGGCTACATGAAATAATATAATATTGACTGCCTGCTGGAACTTCAATAGGACTGAAGCAGTCTTTGCTAATTTCATTCTTTAAAAAAATCACCTGTAAGAAAATCTTCATGGTTTTCAAGTCCGCTTGCATTCTGTGCTTGTTTTATGCAGAAAGAAGAATTTCCTGTGAAGGAAACAGCATTTTTTCTGCACAGAAAATAATATCTGAACAGAAATATTAATTTCTTTAAAGGAGCTATTGTTCTATACATAGAAAGGCTGTTTTCTGTGCATACAAACACAGAATTTGGGACATATTCTCATAAATTGGTATTCTCTTAGCCAGGACTTCCTAACATTTGAGAAATACCTTTTCAATAATTTTGAAAGTCTTTTCTAATGTTCTTTTCATCCTTAAATCATCCTGACTTTCTTCTGGAGCCAGCTGTACCAGTGAGGTCTCCTCTCCAGTATAAACACAAAACTAGTCTCTCGGGGTGGCAGGGGGTTGGGAATTGGGAATTAAGGATCACAGGTTCTGGGCAAGTTCATTTGTAGATTTTTTTTCAGATACCCCTAGTCTAAGCCTTTTGGGGATTTTGAAAAAAAATGATGGCATTGCCCCCATTCCCAGAGTAATTAGTTTCCAAGTTTATTCCACTGTAGTATTTGGAAATATAGTTGGGTATTTAGTAATACAATTTACATATCCAAAGAGAAGGGGCAATAAAGTCACTAGGGGAATGAGAATATACGTAGTTCTAGGTATGAAATAATTTTCAATGTTTCACTCTCTACAATGCTAGAAATTTGAAGGGTGAATTATAATTGCATCGGAGGGAGCAGAATTCTTAACTTGAGGGCAATGCTCTCCTTTTACCCTTACTGATAATGGATTTCCTGCATCATCACCCTTTCATCCCTAAAACATATTGCTTTCATCATATGTGAGAAATATATCTGACTCAAATTTTCACATGTTTCTATTTACAAAATTATTTTATCCAGTATGTTTCCCATGGTGACAGTTTCTACTAATTCCAAATTTATTTAAAGTGAAGTGTCATTCTCATTAATGATTAGAGGCATTTTTAAAGTATAGAGGGGCGTGTGTATGTGTGTATGTTTCAGGACATTGAGTTTTGTTTCCATCACCAAAAATAAATGTTGTCTCACCTGTGAAGAGTGATAATGATATTTCTTTCACTTGCATGAAAAACCTTGATAGCTCTTGTGTCTGAGGATTTCTGAGTTATGGCTCTTTCATCTTGATGACAAGAAACATAATAATCATGTGTTATCAGTGAGATGTTCAGCAGTTGCTGAATAGAAAGATATGCGGTGGTAAGCTACAACGCACCTGAAAGTTACAAAATATCGGGACTGTTTAAAATTTAATATATAGATGATGCTTATAGGAGAATTTGTGGCTCTCTAGACATCAATCCCATAAGCTCTTGTCAGTCTGACCATTGATGTGGAATGGCTGGAACTGCAAACCAACAACATCAGGAACCACATGTTTCCTGTTTCTATTATAAGGTTACACTTAAAAAATTATGAATTTCTCCCATTTCAAACATTGCATATATTTTTTTTTAGTTAATTCAATTTGCATCCTCAATTCTGCACTGAGTATAGATTACTTTGTGTGTGTGTGGTAATAAGCAACTAGTAATAGAATAAACAATGATGTTAAATATGTCTCAAGTTTAACACTTAAATGTAATCCTTCGATACACATGGGAGTATAGGACAATGGCTGAAAACTCATATCATTTTCTTTCCATGGGGGAGGGAGGAAATTGTGTTTGCTCCCTTTTGGGGAGGTAGCCATGCCTTTTGGAGCA